CCCTTTCCCTGCCTTTGTCTTTGGTCTTTATGTCCTCAATGGCCTACCCCATTGATGTGGATACCAATGCTCATTGGACCAAGGCAACCTTTGCTGAAGTTGTTGGTAGTGGCTTGGAAGTGCCTAAATCCTTTGAACATCTGGTTTTCCCTGAATGTTTACATGATGCTGCTGCTGGGAAGGGAGTTTACCCCTTTGTTAATCCTTTAGCAGTAAAGCATGGGGAACCTGCAATTATCTTCTCCCCTCAGGAAATTAGTGAGCTCAATGAAACAGTTAAATTCACTCTGTTTGGCAAATTCTAGTTTGGCCACCCTAAGATGGATTTGGTATGGAAATTCTTTGGGGATTTGAAATTAATAGGTGCTTGGAGGCTTGGTCTAATAGATGGAAGGCACCTGCTTATTTCATTATTTAATGATGAGGACTATGCAAGCGTTTTAGATAAACTAAATCTAATTATCAATGGTGTTCCATTGAAGTTAATGAAGTTGACACCTGAATTTGATCCCTCAAAGGAACCCCCAGTTTTTCCTGTTTGGTTCAAATTGCCCAACCTACCCATTCAGTACTTCCATCAAAATGTTCTTTTCAGCATCAGTAGAAAGAGACATCTCCCTGCCTGATATAGATAGGGTGTGGATTGGTACTTCTGAAGAAGGTATTTGGCAGCAAATAGTAATAGAACAAAAGCCAATATATTTTCAACATTGTAAAATGTTTGGACATAATGTGGAAAGGTGTTATAGACTACACCCTCCATCTAAAAGAAAAACTACCGGGGTCAGAATTACTTTTAGGCCAGTAGAAACAGATGGAATGGTAGTGGCATCTGTTGAAACTAATGTTGTTGTTGAAAATACTATTGGGGTTAAACCCAATAATAGTGTTTTGGAGCAAGAGGAAGCCATTGGCATTAACAGAAATTTGAAGGAAAATATTATGCATGATGACAACTTAATCGGTATTAATCCAATTAGAGTTGAAGACCAGCAAATTGACAGTTTGACTGATGTCTTAACTGAAGATTGGCAAGTTCAAAGAAGCAATAAAAGGAAAAAAGGCAAGTTAGAATTTAAACAAACTTTGGAGGGACTTTGGAGGGCCCAACAACTACTTGGTATCACCATCCAAGGACTAGGGGAAAGGGAGGACCTTCTCTCAATGATTAAGTTTCTTGTTTAGAACATTAGGAGTATTGCTCACCCATTTTCTCTCAAAAGAATAAAAAATCTAGAGAGTCCATACAGTTTGGTGTTTTTCCATTCTTGAATCCTTAGTTACTAAAAATTCCAAAAAAATTTCAAAAGAAGTTCCCTCAATTTGATCATTTTTCTAACTCTAATAAAAAAATTTGGCTTTTTGCTAGAGCTGAATTACATTGGTCTGTTTTGATAAATCATTCTCAGTTTATTCACATCCAATTCTATATTGGAGCTCAAGTTGGCTATGCCACTTTCATTTATGCCAGTAGCCTTGTCAGCAAACAAGCCACCTTATGGGATGAGTTGATTCTGATTGGACAAGCTGTAAACTCTTTTTGGATTTTCGGGGGTGACTTAAACTGTCTTTCCTCTCTTGGTGAAAGAAAAGGTGGTAGACCGCCCACTGTCTCTGCAATAAACAGATTCAATGATTTTCTCTCTGAGGCTGAGCTGTTTGAATTGGGGTACCAAGCGCCAGACTTCACTTGGAGAAGTGGTGCCATGTGGGAGAGGCTGGATAGAATGATGGGGGACTCTAACTGGGTTCAGACCATCCCTTGCACTATCATTACTCATTTGGCTATGGCAGGTTCTGACCATAGACCATTGTTATGTACTATCCAAAATGCTGAAAAGCCAAAAAATGCTCCTTTCAGATTCCAAAACATGTGGACTCTTCACCCTCATTTTATTGAAGCAGTTTATAAGGTTTGGAGGGCTGAAGGGAACTCTAATCCCTGGGTAAGACTGTGGATCCTTCAGAAAAAAGTGGCTGCTCATCTCAAGAAGTGGAATTGGAAAACAATTGGCAATCTTAATAAGAACTTGACCACTGCCCAAAGTAATGTTATCAGAATGGAAAAGAATTTCCAAATGGGGTTGAATTCTGAAGCTGATCTGCACAAAGCTAGTGAAGAACTGTTAATGCAAACCAATTATACTGAATGTTTTCTGAAACAAAAAGCAGCAGTCACCAGATTTATTGATGGAGACAGAAAAACAAGTTATTATTATGCTTGTATTAATTTTAGAAGGAAGAATAACATGATCCTTTCCATACATGATTCTAATGGTAAGGTAGTAACTGATGCTGAGGACATTGCCATTGATGCTGTTAATTATTTTCAGAATATCTTTATGGATCATTCTACTGAAAGAGCTCCTATCTAGGTGGAACTTTTCTCTGAGTGCATTGATTTTGTTCGAAGCTTGGACCTTGTTCAGATTCCTATGGAAGGAGAAATTAAAGCTGCACTGGACTCTATTGATGACCATAAGGTGGTTGGCCCTGATGGTTTTACTGCCAAAATCTATAAGACTACTTGGAATATCATCAGTGGGGAGGTTGTTGATGTTGTGCAAAGCTTCTTTAAAGGTATGGATCCCCCTAAGTATTTCACTGCTTCCATTATAACTTTGATTCCCAAAAATTCTAGCAGGATTGGGTGGGGAGATTTCAGACCTATCAGTCTAACAAATGTCTTGTCTAAAGTTATCAGCAAGGTTATTAACCATAGGCTTCAACCTCACCTCCAGCAACTTATCTGTAATAACCAGGTTACATTTGTGAAAGGGAGACAAATCTCTGATAACATTCTCTTGGCACAGGAGTTCTTACTGGACCTTGACAGAAAGTGTAGAGGTAGCAATCTCATTCTGAAATTGGATATCCAGAAATCTTATGATACTATCAATTGGAATTTTATCTTGGACACTTTAAATGCTAGCGATTTCTCTGGGGCCTTTATAATTTTGGTGAGAAGGTGGCGTTGTATTAACAATCACTCTAACTTAATCTATGGTAAAAGCCATGGGTTCTTCTCTGCCTCAAGGGGAATTAAACAAGGAGATCCACTGTCTCCTACTATCTTCATTCTTGCTATGGATCATCTTTCTAGACTTTAAAATCAAATGTTTGCCTCTTCTCCTCACCTGACATATCAGCATAGATCTAACATTGGGGTGAGTCATCTGTCTTATGCTGATGATATTATCATTTTCTCCAAGGCTACCAAAACTGCTGTAAAGGCTCTTTACCAAGGACTTACACACTTCCAAATCACCTCTGGTAAGCATCTTAATAAACAAAAATGTCAATTCTTTACTAGCTCAAACACTCTTCCACAGATTAAGCAATGGATTGCTCAGTACACTGGCTTCAGGAAAGCTACTCTACCAATCAACTATCTTGGTGTCCAATTAATAAAAGGGAGATCCAAGCAAACACAATTCAATGGGGTTATTGACCAGATTCAGAAAAAGTTGCAGTGTTGGACTAATTACTTCCTCTTAAATGGAGGTAGAATCACCCTTCTTAAAAGCATCCTAACTTCCATTCCATCTTATGCTCTTCAAATGTTTACCATGGAGAAAGGAACTCACATAAGGCTGGGCAGAATTTTCAACAAATTTTTGTGGGCTGGACAAAAAAAACAATTCCATTGGTTAGCTTGGAATAAACTATGTAAACCCCTAAGTGCTGGAGGTTTAGGCTTTAAAGATTTTCAGCATCTCCGTACCATCAACCTATGCAAACTATGGATAAATTTTAGAGCACAAGATAGTCTTTGGGCTTTATTTATGAAGGGGAAGTATTGTAGGACAGTTCATTCTACTATGACTCAGAAGAAGATGGGCGATTCTAGGTTGTGGACTAAGCTTATGGAGATTAGAAATAAAGCTGAGGATTTGTTTATCTGGGAGCTTGGTGAAGGCCAAGTTAATTTCTGGCTTGATAATTGGGTGTGGAATGGGGAGAGACTACACAACTCCAATCCTAACTTAATGACAAAAGTGAAGGAATTCTGGATTGATAATCAGTGGAACTGCAATTTGTTGGATGTCATCCTAACTAAAGAGCAAATACATTGGGTTAAGCAAACAAAAATCAATCCTAGACAGAAAGATAGACTCATTACTAGACAGGTTTCCTCACAAAAATTGTCTGCCTTCATCTACCAACAGCTATTTGAATGACAGCCTGTCAAGTGGGGTAAATTGATTTGGGGGAAGTGGTTAACACCTTCCATGTCCTTTTTCTGCTGGACGCTATGGAAATCCTTATTTCCTACTGATGACATTTTGAAGATGAAAGGGCTTAAGGGTCCCTCTTGCTGTCAGCTGTGCAGTAAAGCTGAAGAAAGTCTGGATCATTTGTTCTTCTCTTGTAGTTTCTCCCAAGGGGTCTGGTCTGGTATACTAAAACAGCTTAATATTGACACTCTGAAATTCAGCTGGCAATACTTTGTGGGGTGTTGGATGGAATGATTAGATGCCAAATTATTAATCATTCCTTGTATTGTTGCCTGGTTCCTTTGGATGTGCAGGAACCAGTTTAAATATGAAAACAACAAACAAAAGGAGATGGATGTGGTACTGAATTGTACTTCTTATTTGCAAAAGATAATAAAATTTCATAATTTTCCCAATATTTTCCTGAATTGGGTGCCCAGTGTGCAGAAGCTAAAAGTTCCTACTTTAGTTCTATGGAACCCACCTCCTGAAGGGTGGTTGAAAGCCAACACAGATGGAAGCTTTTGTAAGGAGGTTGCTGGTGTGGGTGGAATCTTTAGGAACTCTCCGGGGAAGTGCATGTTATACTTTTCCTCTCCAACTTGGGCATTTGATGCACTAGAAACTGAAATGATTGCTTTTTATTGTGCTATCTACCTTGCCAAGCATTGCAACATCATAAAATTGATAGTTGAGTCAGAATCTTTCAGTTGTATTAGATTTCTGAATCAGGAAGAGGCTGCTCCATGGAATGTTGCTAGGTGGACTACTAAGATCCAGAGCATATTGAGCAATGTTGAAGTGATTTTCCAGCATATCTTAAGGGAAGGTAACACTCCTGCACACAATTTGACAGCTAAGGGGAAGGATAATAAAGAAATTTTTGTAGGGACTATACCTTCCACTCAGCATGAAATTCTTCTTCATGGGGATAGTTTATCCATTCCTTATATTAATTGTAGGGGGTGATTTTTTATTTTCACACTAAGTCAGCTTTTGTGTGTATCATGGACACTTCCCACATTTTTTTGTATACTTCATTGTATGATCTAGTTAGACAGATGGGAAGGGTTGTTTTGAGTGATCTTCTCACTCATTATGTAATCCAACTTTCACATTAACATGTATGGAGCTATAGCTTAGCTCTTTTCCTTTTAAAAAATATTTATATATATATCTTTGATGAGTAGTATTTTTAAAAAAATATAATCCACTACAAAGCGAAAAAGATTTATAATTAATTAAAAGTATTAATGAAGAAAATAGATTAAAAAAACATTAAATTAGATTCAAATGAAAATCTTGACTCAGTCTTTAATATCTTATAACTACGTAATTAGGGTTGTCAAAACAAATCTTTGTTTGTGAACGGCTCGTGTTCGGCTCGCTATATCTTTGGCTTCTTTGACTGACAGCGCCGAGAGAGGGGGAGAGAAGACCGGGTGTTGTAGGTTTAGATCTAATGCTCAACGGAGCCTTTTTGAAAAAAACTCTGAAGCATTGAGGATGAGGATTTGAATCTCGTGATATAAATTTTTGTTGTTCAAGGCGTTGTGGAGACCTGATATTTTGATTGGAAGAAGGGCTTCGTGCAACCTATTGAAGTTCGTTCCTTCTAAGTTTAGGTTTCATTAAGGATGGCTTCTGTTAGTGTGGCGCCATTATCAGGAATGAAAAATGCCAGTAGTAATACTTTTGGCATGGATAGATTACCTGATGAGATAAATGACTTGAAGATAAGGGATGATAAGGATGTTGAAGTAACAGTTGTTGATGGAAATGGTACTGAAACTGGACATATAATTGTGACTACTATTGGCGGTAGGAATGGTCAGCCAAAGCAGACTATAAGCTATATGGCAGAGTGTATAGTGGGAAATGGATCCTTTGGAATAGTTTTTCAGGCAAAATGCTTGGAGACTGGTGAAACAGTTGCAATAAAGAAAGTTCTTCAGGACAAAAAGTATAAGAATCGTGAGCTACAAACCATGCATCTTCTTGACCACCCAGATGTTGTCTGTTTGAAGCACTGCTTCTTTTCAACGACTGAGAAGGATGAACTATATCTTAACCTGGTGCTTGAGTTGTTAGAACTAAAAAAATCACATTCAATTTTGAGAGAAATAAACCATAGATTAGCGGAAGCAACCCGGAGTCCATTAGATCGATTGCATAAGGTACGATCTTCCAATCTACAGATTTTCTACAGTTTCCTTAGTTTCTTATTGATGGGGTGCAAGAAAAGGGATGTGTCTCTCTGCAAATAGGGGACCATTACCCTTTAAAAGTAACTAACAGACGGTTACAAAAAAGTTTTGCTTAATTATAATTTTCCCCTCATCAAATTAGAATTTGCACTTATGGTATCCACACTATAATATCATGACAAATGTGTCCAAAGTCATAAATTTAATTCTAAATTAGTTTAATTCTAAATTAGACCACATTTTGACTTATTAAATGATGACCCAACACATTTATTAATTACATTGTAGTCCCAAAATTAATCCAACAATCTCCCACTGGACTACATATGTATAAGATAAATGTGTCAACCTTAGTGCGCCCAAAATTTTGTCATCATCATTATAAAGACACGTTACAATCTTGTCCATTAATTACATCAATATAGGATCAAAGCAGTCTTTGTTATATCTGTCACAAGTAAACCCATCAATGGTCACATATATCAATATAATCAAATGACATTGATCAATCATGAATGTGTGGAATGAAAATTACATGCAAGGTGATGCAAGGTGGTCAATTTTCAACTGGTCCTACTTTACTTAAGTGAGATCGAACCTTAACTGTACAGAGTGCACTGAACTGAATAAAATACCTCATTTCTGATCAGAAAATATCCAAATATATCTTGTACACAAAATAAAACATAAAACTATAAAACACAAGTTAACAAACTCCCACTGAATCTAAATTCCCTCAAGCTCTATAACACCCATATGAGCAGTATGCTCATGAAAGACCCTGGGTATCAGAGCCTTTGTAAGGGGGTCCGCAATCATGGAGTTTGTTCCTAAATGCTCTATGTGAATCTGGCCACTCTGTACTCTTTCCTTCACAACAAGAAATTTGATGTCAATATGCTTTGACTTGGTTGAGCTCCTGTTGTTATTGGAATACAATACAGCTGATTTATTGTCACAAAACAACTTGAGTGGTCTTTCAATTCCTTCCATAATGCGCAGCCCAGTGACAAAATTTCTCAGCCATATACCATGGTTGGATGCCTCATAACATGCTACGTACTCTGCTGCCATGGTGGATGAAGCTATGAGTGTTTGTTTTGCACTCCTCTAGGATATAGCTTCACCACCTAACAGAAAAATGTAGCCTGATGTGGATCTTCTACTGTCTTGGCATCCAGCAAAATTGGAGTCAGAATACCCAATGATCTCCAAATAGTCTGGTCTCCTATATGTAAGCATGTAATCTTTTGTTCCCATTAAGTATCTCATAACCCTTTTGGCTGCTTTCCAAAGATCCATTCCTAGGCTGCCTAAATGTTGCTTAAGTATCTGCCTAAAAATCCAACATTGTACGCAATATATGGCCGCGTACAAAATTGAGCATACATTAGACTCCCTACAGCTGAAGCATAGGGAATCTTATGCATTTCTTGAATCTCAAGGTTTCCTTTTGGGCACTAATTGAGACTGAACTTGTCTCCTTTAGCGACATGGGTGTCAATTGGTCTACAATTCTGCATGCAAAATCTTTTAAGTACTTTATCAATATAGCTTCTTTGTGATAATCCAAGAATACACTGAGAACGATCTCGGTGAATCTGAATTCCTAAAACAAATGAGGCATCACCAAGATCTTTCATCTCGAAATTAATTGATAGAAATCTCTTGGTTTCGTGCAACATGCCTATATCATTTGTGGCAAGCAGTATGTCGTCCACATACAAAATCAGAAAAGTATGCTTTCTTCCACTAAATTTATGATACACACAATCATCAACTGCATTCATTTCAAAACCAAACGATAGAATCACTTGATGAAATTTGTGATACCATTGACGGGAAGCTTGTTTGAGCCCATAAATAGATTTTGTCAGTTTGCAAACCATATTCTTTGAATCTCCTGACACAAAGTTTTCTGGTTGCACCATATAGATTGTTTCATCAATGTCTCCATTGAGAAATGCGGTCTTAACATCCATTTGATGAAGCACCATATCATAATGAGCAACAAGTGTCATGATTGTTCTAAAAGAGTCCTTTGTTGAAACCAGAGAGAAGGTCTCTTTATAGTCAATCCCTTCTTTTTGAGTATAGCCTTTAGCTACAAGGCGAGCTTTACACCTCTCCACATTACCCTTTGAATCCTGTTTGGTTTTAAAAATCCAATTGCAACCAATGGGTTTCTTTCCTTCTGGCAATGGGACAAGTTCCCAAACTTTATTATCTTGCATAGACTTATACTCCTCATTCATTGCTTCAATCCATTTTTCTGAATTGGAACTTTGTATAGCTTGACAAAAGTTGATTGGATCATCTTCCATCATATTATTATTTTCCTCGTGTTCCTGAAGAAATACAATATAATCATCTGAAATAGTATTTCTTCTTTCCGTAGTGGATCGACACAAAAGCACTTGTTCTTGAGCTTGTTCTTGAGGTTGTTGAATTTGTTTCTCAAGGGATTGATTAACAATGTCTTGTTCTGGATTTGCAACTTGATCAACGACAGGAGTGAAATCCTGATCATTATCAAAAGTAATTATAGGAATAGGAACCAATTCCTCTTCAACAAGAGTACTATGGTCTGATTCCTCCTTAAAGACAAAGTCTCTAACCTGATTCCTCATTAATGTGATGCCTCTATCTATATTTATAATGTTAAGTTTAGCTGTTATTTCTGCCACTATTATAACCGTTCAGTTAGTTAATTGATCTATCATTTATCCAAAATGGGTTATAGAAGACGTGCTTGTTAAAGTGGGTTAAAGTGGTGTTAAAGTGGATAAATTTATCTTTTCTATGGACTTTATTGTATTAGATATGAAGAAGATAAAGAATATCACATTATTTTGGGGATACCTTTTCTTGTTACTGGACAAGCTATGATAGAAGTGCAAAAAGGAAAGTTAACTATGAATATTAATGTCCATGAAACCACTCTTGATGTTTTAAAGGCTATGAAGTATCCAACTGAGAGAAAAGGTGATGATTATTTTTGGAAGGATCAAATTGATTATCTAAGTAAAAATAATTTCCAAAAATGTTTTGAGAGTAAGTTAACAGATGAGATCGAAATGGACTTTCATGATGAGTCTAAAATGTTGTTTAAAGAAGACTGTATATATGTTCACGAGAGGTGTGAAATGATGGATGTTACCAAAAATATTAAACTTTTAATTCCATCTGTTGAAAAATCTCATGAACTTAAAATGAATATACCCTATACAATTTTAAAGCCTACCTATTTAAAGAATTCATGTACACCACCAATCTTTATATCTTCATATTTGACTCAATCACAAGATGAACCTGAATTGAATGATGAAATCAATAGTGGATCTCTGATGAAAGAGTTATTCAAAGTCACTGAATGGCATATTTCGTGGTATACAGAAAAAATAAACGATATTCTGATGCTGGGGCAGATTATTAATGCAATTAACAATTACCCCTAGAGATTTTACCTAGTGACCCTGAGATAAATTTTAAAGAAATGAATGATGAGCAATTTAAAATTATTGAACTGATATTTAGAAGAGAATTTGGGGATATGTTTCATAAGAACTTTGAGTTAAGAGATAAGGATAAGGATATTGAAAGACCAATGGAAGAAATTCTTGAAGAATTAGAAGATAACTTGAAAGATAAGAGTAACCTATAAGAATTAACTTAATAATAATAATAATAATCCAGAATCTAAATTATCTAGAGATAATCTGATCTAAAATTTGGGAGATCATTAAGTAGCTTATAATGATCAATTTCTTATAAATTTCAAGGATAATATTAATATGAAAATTGAGAAAATTACTAGAAGAATATTGGATCTTGAATGAAACATGAGGAACAAGGATATGAATCAATCTGTAAAGGAAGAGCTGAAAGAAAAATTTAACTTTGAGGATTTTGTAGGAATCCCTGGATCTAGAAAAGATTGTGCGATTGATCAAGGAATACTTAATTGGAATTTTGATCCTGTTGGAATCATTTGTTGTGCTAGCGACTTTAAACCAAGCGCTTTTTGAGAGGCAACACATAGTTATCAATGTGGTTTAATGTAGTGTGCTTAAGAGTTATGATTTTTGGTGTTGTGTTCTGCTTGTTTTAGTGCGGTGTAATTAGTCTGATTGATGTTTAGTAGATGTTTGAATTGTTAGTGGTTTGATTTGCTTTTTGTGTGTCATGAGGGAAATGATTTCTTAACTTCTTATTATGGTTAGACTTGTATGTTCTGTTGTAGTAGTTGGATTGATGAGTCCACTACAACTCAGGTCTAACCCAAACTTGAGTTTTAGAGGAGACATTATGAATTTATTAGTGACAATTCCATCTCAATTTTATTACTTCCTTTCTTTGACCTTGTTTTCATTTGGTAGGAATAGCTAACCTATTTGATGAGTAATATGTGGATGAATTTACACTATTCTTATAACTATTAGAGGTGCTTAATTTAAAGGATTACATGATGCCTGAGATTGGTGCCTAGGAGCCAATATATAAGGGATAATTTTATCTTTGGGATTAGAATCTATAAATCATTTATAAGTACCCAATATATTTGTGTAGTGATTCCATTAGAAATTGGAAGTAAGTTAGTGAGATGTGATGAGTTAAAGGAAGAATTGACCTCAATAGGACTTGAAGAACATTTTTATATTCCAATGCCGATACATGTTATGCAAGTTAAACTTTTATTTAGTTAATTTCATTCTGGCATGTTTAGTTTAGATTTACTTTCTACTACATGTTGTCTATCCTGATAAATAATTGTAGATATTTTTGATAAACATTTGTGGTAGATAGAATTTCTAAACTGTTTTTCTTCCTACTTATATTTTCTTGCACCAAATGTTATAGATGTTAAAAATCAAGTTTGGGGGTAGGAAGAACAATAGATTTTAACGCTATGTATAATTCCCTTTAGTTTAGTATTATTGCATGCATATTTTAGGCTAGATTTACATTCTCCTACAGTCATTCTATCCTGATTATGAATGTATATAAATTTGATAGGATGTTTTAGTAGCTACTAGATTGAATTACTTTTCCTTCATGCT